CTGGAATCACCTGGAGCGCGCTCGTAACCATCCCGCATCGTAGCCACACATTTTTTTTCTCTTCCTTCTCTCCCTCCTTCTCCTCCTCCTCCTCCACGTGGCCTTTTCCTCCTATTTCCTTCGGCTTCTCTACGCGAACGGAGAAAGTCATTAAACGCGCGTCCAATTGAAAAATAACCGAAAATTTTCGTTTCCTCTATCTCGTCGTATTTCGATATCACGAGATCGGATTTGAAACTTTTGAACTTTTGTGTTGACGTGAAATGTAATTCGCATGCGCATAACCGGTGCATCAAATGAAAACAAATGTAAAAAATTCACGCGTCGACAAGCTCATGAATTATTTTGCTTCATATTCGAGTACGAATTTAATATCTGCTCACGCTGAGTTTGATTTTTATTTAAAAAATTTTTTTTTATATTTTTTTAAGCAGACTGTATGCATTTCCGGTGCGTCGCATGGCTCGCGTGAAGATGCACCCTCGACGTTATTACCAACCGGTGTTTAATCTTCGTTTCGCGCCGAGAACGATATTTTCAGGTTGACCCCGTTCATTCGGAGCGACGCGTGTCGCTTTCGCGCCCGGCCCTTTTCCGTTCAAATTGGACGTAAAAAATTGCGTTCGCGAGAAACGCCATCAATCTAGCCTGAGGTCTCTCCCTCAGGAACCACCCATCTTATTCTGGTCCGAACAGCATTGACTGCCCGACGTTCAGCTCGTCGTCGTCGTCGTCGTCGTTGTTGCGAACGTTAACCTTGCGAATACAATCGTAAATGCATTTCGGAACTCGCAGTTCTGCATAACTAATAAGTCCTTCACTGTCTCTAGGAAACAGAGAGAATACATTGCACGCATATACCTCTCTTGATATTTCAATTTCGCTTCCAATTTACATGCTGATTTTAATACAATTTAATCGAGTCGGGATTCGTTCCTTCCTCTCCTCGAAAATTTACGTGAAAGACCCACGAACAGTCGTAACGTGGGGAATCGACGGTGTAGATCAGACGGGACTCAACGTTAATACAATAATTCAACGATTTCTCTCACCGCAAGGTTATCGCGCGAATTCCGGGCCACTCGTTAACCGGCGCGGCGGTTTCGCACATGTGCCTCTCGCGCGGTGCGTTGAACCGACGACCTCCGCGAAATTTATAACCGGCGTCACCGCCGCAGGAAGACAAGAGCGCGAAAGCAAAGGGGATGAAGGAGCAATACGTCAGACGTAGAAGGAAAATGCCGCGCACCGCAGCGCAGCCGTGACCGTCCCTTTCGCGTGCCTCGTAAGAGGGGCTAATTTACGTCGCGTAAAATATACGTTTCGATTTGTTGTGGGGTGCGAAAGCGGTCGGTCGTCGTCGTCGTCGTCTACGTCTCACCGCGGAGCGAGTCGCGACACGTGCATCGTGCAATGACGCGCCTGTTCATGAGTAATTCATACAGTTGTACACCGATAAAAATATTTTGTATCAAAATCAAACTCAGCGTGAGCAGATATTAAACGTACTCGAATATGAAGCAAAATAATTCATAAGCTCGTCAACGCGTGAATTTTTTACGTTTGATGCACCGATTATGCGCATGCGAGTTACATTTCACGTCAGCATAAAAGTTCAAAAGTTTCAAATCCGATCTCGTGATATTGAAATACAACGAAATAGAGAAAAGGAAAATTTTTAAAATAAATATTTTGTATTAGTGTTGAAGTCGACCCGTGAAAAAATTTTGTGTTGAACTTTTCACATACCCGTGTGTTAATTTGACATATTGTCGTTGTGTTAAGTGTTAATTATTTTCTGCGTTGAGTTCGTATTCACTATTTCCGAGTGTTGAAAGTACAGTACTTACAATACAGTATTTACAATTTCAATGTGGAAATGTATGAATTCCTGGTGACATGTATATTTTTTGAGGAAAAAATAACAGAAAAATAAAAAATATTTATTCGGTGGATATTAAAATAACATATTTACTTAAATTCCATAAACAACTTTCATAGAAAGCTGAAAGGCCAAATAAAAATGTATATTTTTTTTATACAGAAAAAGTTTTATAATAGCGTAAACAAATATGTTATTAGATCTGTCAGGAAAATATTGTTTATTTCTCAAATATTTTTCTCTCAATGTATGTAAAGTCCACAGATAAGTTGTGTTACGTGTTTATATGTTTGATTTGCGTTAAATGAACGCAAAATTTAGTGTAAATTAGGATATATTAAATTCAACACAAAATATTTGGCAATGTACGAAAATTGTGGAAATCGTGCAATATTGTGGAAATAATTTTTGAAGAAGGCATAAATTATTGCGCAATTATTATAATTTATTATATATGTGAAAAATAATATAAATTATATAACATATTGTATATATAATACAAATTAATAACATATTGTATATATAATACAAATTAATAATACAAATTAATAACATATTGTATATATAATACAAATTAATATATGTTATATAATAAATTATATAACAAATTGTATATATAATACAAATTATGCTATTTTCTTCTATAAAACATGAGTTGTATGTAGCAATTTTATTAGAACGCTCTGAGGCTGACGTGTTAATTAAACACGAATCGATTCCGAGACAGGTGCGTGGTAGACGCGCGTCATCGCTTTTTTCGATACCTCGCATCGAAAATTGAGAAATATGGTTCGCCATTTTGACAAATCTGCCGCGACATTTGTCCCAAAAGAAAAAAAAAAATCCGTATCGCCGTTTCGAATGATAACATGACGACGTATGCGATGTGGACAACGTGCTCGCGTTCCTTCTTGAGGCATTATTGTCGGAGCACGCTTAAGCGATTTATCGAGAATCACGAACGTTAACGGCGCTCTCCCTCGAGAAGTCCGATATCGGCGCAAACGTTCTTTTGGGAATTAAAAAGTTACTAAATAACCGGCTCGATCGCGAGCTTCTGTCACGCCGTCGACGTCCGACGCGGCACAAAGAGAGGGAGGCAGAGAGAGAAAGAGAGAGTGAATGAGTGAGCGAGTGAGCGAGTGAGCGAGTGTACGATGGATAGCGGCTGGCCGGTTCTCGTTCGGTGTGCAGTTTCTTTTTTTTCTCTTTTCCTTCCCGGCTAACGGGAGCCGATGCTTTAAAGTCGCGCCGGGTTGCCTCGCCGTCCCCGTCGCTCTTTCCCCACCTTCTCACTATCTCGCCGAAATTGGAATCGGTTCCTCGCGTCCATCCGTCCATCCGTCCGTCCATCCGTCCCGTCGCGTCGACAAAAAGCAAAATCGCCCATACGAACTCGACGTGTCCTAAAGCGACAGGGCGCGACTTTGTACGAAAGGGACGATCAAATCCCGCCGCGCCGCACGCACGAACGGAGAGCCGCACGTGTGGGATCGCTCCTCTTTCTGTCTCTCTCTCTGTCTCTCTCTCTCTCTCTCTCTCTCTCTCTCTCTCTCTTTCATTCTCATTATTATACTCTCTCAATAAGCCCACGTCTACGCTTTCTTCCAGTATCTCCCGTTTTACCGCAGTCATCGGTCGAATCTCATACAACTATCTTATTTTCACCCAGTACCTTATTTTCACTCCGCGAAAAGTATTCTCGAAGAAGAGCACTAAGAGAAATCGCACGCGTTTTAATATTTGTAGTGACTTCTGATAGCAGAACCGAGCTCAGCTCTTTAAGGTAAAAACCTCTGCATAATTTTCGCACACGAAAGAGAAGAACCACCGCCGGCTGCTTCTCAAACGTGACACGAGAAATTCATTTTCGTGCGCGCGACGTGTAACGTATTTATCCCGGATGGATAGTTTCGCGAAAGTCGGCAAATTGAAGGAAATAATTAGCAAAGAAGATAACGATTCCCTCTCCCTGTGAATCTGCTTGGCTTGATAAAGCGCGCCATCAATTACCGCCATATTTCTCGTCGACTCTCTCACCGTTTTATCTGTCTTACTTAGCGCAAGCAAATGAGAAGATAAATCGCGAATGAGTTAATTCCCGCCGGTGCATTTGTTGAGCGCGACTTTATGATGTATTAACGCGCGAACGTCACCGCGCGCACCTCGCTCTCGTACTCCCGCTTTGTCCACCGCCGTAAGCTGCAATTCGTTATCCCCCATTTCGCCAATTAATATTAGTCAAACCCTAATTAAATTATAGCCGCTTAAGAACGCAACGGAGAGGCGAATGATAATTAAACGTCGGCTGCGTACATATGTGCGAAAGAGGTGAAGTACAATTTCATCTCTATCGTAAAAATGATTATACTGCAAAAATATTTTTAAATGAACAAATATTTATTATGTGGGTATCATCAACATGTTTACTTAAATCAGAATTCTCTTCATTTAAATCGAGTACTGTTTATTTGAACTGAGTAAACATTAAACAAATCGGGCATGATCGATGAGGTATAATTTAGGAGATCCGATACGACCTCGACAGCTCTTCCCTAATTCTCACAAATTTTCGAAACTTATGAAATGCTTAAAGCAAGTAACATTTATTTGAATACAGTATATATTTTTCCATGTGCGCTAAGAAGAACATATCGATTTCATATCAGTGCGAAATATTATTAAGAAGGATATGAAACTTCATTCGTTTCTAGATTTCTTGCCTCTCTGGCTCCCTTACGATCGCGTGTAATTCCAGCTATTTATACGCGCTGAATGAAAACATCCGCGACGGCCGCGCACTAATTTCGGCGACAGCTCCGCGATATGCATCATTTTAGCATGTGCATAACTACATGCGGATGGTGCTTTGATGGTGTGTGCCCCCTTTTCATTGACTCCGAATGAAGGCCGTCGGGCTCTTCCCTTCAACGAAATAATCATCCGCATCGAGGATTTTCCGCGTAATTATCTTGACGATTAACCTCGCGCGAAGCGCACCCACCACGTGGAATTAATTCTATCCCGTTACTTACCGCGCAGGGCGCGGATGAAAACAAAAACGCGCGTCGGAACGTGAGAGAGCGAGCAAACGAGAGAGAGAGAGAGAGAGAGAGAGAGAGAGAGAGAGAGAGAGGGACAGGGAGAAAGAGTGAATGCGAGGTAATTGCAACTGATAAAATTGCTGCGGGACGAGCGCGCCGCCGAGAGAGCTCCGAAACGACCCGCCAGCGCTCGATTATTTATCGTTTAATCCACGCGATCGACTAATCGCGGTCTCTCGCGTTGAATCCGGATATGGAGATATCAAGTTATCGCGCCGCGAAGAAATGCGCCTCGCGCACGATCTTCCTTCACGTTTCATTTCTTCAACTTCTCGTCCTCCAGCCGGGCATTTCCTTCTTTTCGCACGAGCCCTCCTTCCTTCCCCTCCTCCTCCTCCTCCGACAATCGCGGGCGTTTTCGGCGGGTAGTTAACGAATTTCCCTGCGGTCTCGCTACACCGAATTGGCAATTTAGCGACATTCCCGATTCGCGGCTGGAAAATTCGCGCTACGCCGTTTTCCCGCATTTGCGGCGATAATATGCGACGCGAATTCCCGATCTCCACCTCACCCCCGCCCCATCCCCCCCGACTCTCTTTCCCGTCCCGTCCCGATGCAGCTGTCACGTACTGAATCGCCGCTGTCGCGCGACGGCATTGCGAAAATTTCGCCGTGGGCACGACCGTGGGTGTGCCTAATTACCGCTCGTTTGGTTCGCACTAAATCGATCGCATTACATACTAATACGCTGGAGATTGTGCGAGGCCAGATGGCGACGGGGAAAGGAGATTCGTAGGCAGGAACGGGAGAGAATGGGATTTAGTTAGGGATGTTGTTGTAATGATCGTGTAATCTCTTCGAGCGGCACGTACTTAGCCGATCGTTATGTGCAACAAATGGCTCTCGACAAACGACGTCTTTTGCGTAAAATTCTGCTTAGTATTTCGTACAAACGGTAGTACACAGACTGTCGCGACTCTTGGCAACGCAGACTTGAAAATCCAAAGAAAAGCAAAAGAAGTCACGTCATGTGATCGATAGATTGCATGTTTATGTCGCTTCAAGGCTGGTACGATTTCAGCGACTCTCGCTTGAACAGAATATTTCTACAAGAAACTAAAGGAGAGCTTCGGCTGATGTTCGGTTATTCTACACGGGTGTGAGAAACGCATACAATACTTTATGTTACTTCAAATCGTATTATGCAAATCGTGTGTCAAGCTTTTTCAGCTTGATTATTTCTGAAAGGAGAAACAGAAATATGAGAGAAAAGAAATAAGGAAAGAAGAAAGGAAATCCAAAGAACCGTGATTTGCGCGGGACGGCTGGAGGAGCGAGCTCGATTACTTACTAAATCGGGATTTCGCACAGAGTGCCGCTAACAACCCTGTTAGTAAGAAATCTCGCGCGCGATTAACGTCGGTTGCCGGCGCTTGTTCTTCTCTCTTCTACTTCTACTTCTCTTCTTCTTCCCCGCATTTTCCACCAGTCTCACTGTCTCTCGCCGCGCCGAACGCGCGACGTTTGTAAAGACGACACGTTGGGTCTCGCGACGGGGGTAGTGGTGGTGGTAGAAAGTGGCGGCGAGAACGGGGTGGCTGGTGGACGGTCGGTCGGTCGGTTTAATAAACTTACGGGCGTTAGGTAAAAGGAAAGAGTCTTTCACCAAAGGCTATGCAATAACGTGTAATGACATTATGCGCAAAGGAAGTCGCGCTCGGTTCACGATCATCGCTGAAGAGCACTCGTCTTTTTCCTTTTTTCCTTCGGGCCGTATCACTCACTCTTTCTCGTTCTCTGTCTGTCTCTCTCTCTCTCTCTCTCTCTCTCTCTTCCTTTTTATGTATATACATTTCTCCTCTCGCACTTCCATTTTCTCTTCCTGCTCCCGTCGTCGTTTCTCCTACTGCGCCTCAGTCGTGAGAAGATTTCTGGCTGTGAAGTCTCTTTCGCTCGGCGCTTTTTAAACAGCTAAACGGGAAGAAAAAGTTGGTGGCGAGAGAGGGATGATCCGGGGGGATGATAATTGGAGCGGCGACAATCATCGGGGAGGATTTAAGAAAGCGAGGCAAATAACGCCGCTGTCGGATTAACTCCCGCTGGCGACGAATGTCCAGCGTAGAGAATTCTAACAAATTCTCGGGATTCTTCAAAGGTTATTGGATTCTTCTTCTTTTCTTTTTTCTCTCTTACTCACGACTAATCAATGTATTTTTACTTTTGTGATCATTCCTCTACTAATATCGTTCTAACATTCGATTAATATCGATATTAGATCTCAATATTAAATTTCATTTTATTACATTTTTTTTCGTTTAATCATAGCAAATATAATCGAAAATTAGGTATATTATATATTCTATTTCTCAAAATTCTTTCATGTTAAAAATTACGTAAAGGAAGAAGTCTCTTTGAATGAAAGGAGCCGGCGATATTATTATTCTCCTTGTCTTAAGAAAAGGAAGGGAAAGAATTCCACTTAGCGCGCGGTAATTTTTACGTCCCCATCGCGGATAAGGGTGAGGTAAATTTCGCACGGCAGGTTGCTCGTAACACGGCTAATTTCGCGATTTACAGCGGCATCCACGTTGCGGTAGCTCGTCGGCAACGATTTTTGAACCAGTACATTTTGTTTTGTCCGGTGGACAAGTGTTTCTCGCATTTCCGTGCTGGAAACGGCACCCGAGGACCTCTTCCGCGATTCTCGGCGTACGTGCGTTCCGCCTTGTTAGGTAATTTCGATCTCCTTTACGTCGGACAGCCGCCATAAAATTAGCTCGATAATTACGTTAATAATTTCACTCGCTTGTGCATATTGTGCAAGTTAGAACCGAGAGGAAATTAAAGAGATTAAAATCCAGAAAAAAAGAAATGCTAACAGCGGTAATAATTGAAGACATGGAGAGTGGCGTGTACGTGGCGAAAACTTCGATGACGTTAAGGTGACGTTAATTAGGATAGAATCAGGTCACATTGGCGTAAATGTGTCCACGTCATGTTTGTTCGACTAGGAGGTACAAACTTGTTTTCTAATTATTTTACGAAAAACCAGTTGTGCATTTATATATCGAGATGAAAAAATTAACGTCTGTAAACGGAATTTTTTTTCGATTGTTTCATATTAATTACACTATCATCATCCAAGTCCCCAAATAGTCAGCCGCTTTCTCTGTATTGAGGTTGCTCAAAGAACGATTTGAGAATTATTCAATATTCGACCTGCATTCAAGCTCTTTCTTAATCTCAATCAGCAACGCATTAATCGTATGACTTTTTCAACTGCAGAGAGTATGTGCGATTAGCAAATATCAAATAACTAAATATGGATAAATAATAGAATTAATGAATTAATGACAAACTCTTTCCGTGTAAGCCGTTTATTATTTTTATTAGCATTCGAAATTCTGATAAAATTTAGAAATTCAAAAGGAATGTAGAGGAAGAAACAAAAATAAGAATGTAGAGGAAGAAGTAAAAATAACAATTATACATTTAAAAGCACCGCCGTAAAATTATCCCGATAATTGCGTTAATAATTTCACTCGCTTGCGCGCAAGTTAGAACCGAGAGGAAATTAAAAAGATTAAAATTCAGAAAAAAGAAATGGTAAATATTTAAATTAGGCTTTATTTAGGTATTATAAAGAGACTACGTATAAATAAGAAAAAAGGAGCACACTACTCAAGAAGAGTAGAGCACACAAATCAGCATTTGTAAGACAATAATAATAAAGTATAAATTTCGACTCACGCAGCCCAATACGCATTCTACTATCCTGATAGCCGTTACTACTTCTGGAATGTTTGGAAAGTGTTGGTTGTTGTGATCTCCCAGCCCGTCATTCATAGGTGACGGTTTAACGACAATGATAGGCGACTTGTGAGAGAGGACACGATTTTGCCAATTGTTTTGGTACTCGCGCGTGTCACTCGCCCTTCTCGCGTCGTGTGTCTTCCCGCAAACAACACATTACGTCTCGAGTCACAGCAACACGCGTACCGCAACGCGGAGCACATGTACCTATCGAGTGATTGAAATATTTTCTCGGTTCTCTCGAAGTAAGAATTTGAGTTCTCGTCGGTATCGCGTTTATTAACATTTATTTCTCCGATCATATCGAGCTACGCGAGTGTCAGTGCCAGTGTCAGTGTGCTACTAGTGAATGTTCAGAATACCGCAATGTTCAGAATACCGCAATGGAGCAATTGGGACCAAAATATTCGGATCGAGTAACCAGGATGCGAGTAGTGACGCATCATAATTTCCAGGTGTGTCGAATTAATTTATTATACAGGATGTTTAATCTGAATATTTGGCGAACATACCGAATATAAGGAGACATATCCGAGTCGAAATTTAGAATTTAGAATTTAGGAAATCTCGCAAATGCTGATTTGCGCCTCTAAAACCGCTATTTATAATTGTCAGTTATTTGCAATATTTGATGGAGATTTGAGAACATAATTAATTACTGGTTCGTATTCATATGTCGTCACTCAATTGTTTGAATCAGCATCTCTTGCATGAAATATATATAAATGGACAAATAATTAGATTCAATCTGTGATTGTTTATCAAAACAATAGACTATGAATATCGGTCTAAATGTGTCTCGCTGATTTGTGCTTCTAATGCAATATATTGCAGTAATTATATCTGCCCTTTTCAGCAGTGCACAACTCCTTCCTCTTTATTCTCTTTAAATTTCCAAGTTCTATTTTGCAAATTCTTTTATTCCAAATCCTATCTAAAAATTCAACAACAAAAATTCAACAAAAGCAAAAAAGACAATAAGATGAGAAAATAAAATGTATTATTTTATTTATCTATTACTCATTGTCATAAATTACTTATTACTTATTGTCATAAATTATTTTATATTTGCTTATCGTACAGGACCAGCAGCCATTCTAGCAAGTCCTTTTTTAACTACTTGCGTTGGTAACCCGTTGATAGAAATTCTGTCTAAAATATTCATACTAAACTTTATAAAAATCTCTCGTTATTATTCTCAAGAACGTTACTTCCTTCTTTACGAAAAAATATAATAATATTAATATTTAATATATATATATATATATATATATATATATATATATATATATATATATA